TTTGGTAGTAAATGATCAACATTGGAAATAATGAAAGTCAAAATTAGATTTTTGTATATTGACCAACCTACAACCTGCATGTGCCAACTAACTTAACTTACAACCCGTGCAATTTGGCACACAAAACCGGTGAGTTCGTCGAGTTAAAAAATGACAACTTTAACTCATCATGAAATGAGATGAAATATGCTTGCCTTACGAACTTCGATTCATTTTGACAACTCTATCCATAGTCAATTAAATTGTGTTTTAATTTCAATTGAAGAATTGACATACAATTCACAATCCCTATAATTTTAAGAATTTTTTTGAACACGTATCTTACTGTGTAGTGTATAGGTACATACTAGTAATCTAAAATCTTATAAACACCAATGAAGGTAAGGATGTTTTAGGTATAAAAAATGTGTTGATGTAAAAACTTAGCATTATGCAATTGTACATCATGTTTTGAATATTGTACTACTTATTAATACCCTCATTTTCTCCTTGCTTTCCGTTAAACTTAATGCATTTGCCGTTCACTCCCGTTAGTCTGTTACTCTTTGTTGCATTACATCCGAAATGATGCGTCTCCAACACTAGCCTCCAGGAACTTTTGATAGTGCTTGAGTGATAATTGGTCCATATGTGCACTAAACAATGTTTCCAAGCATAAACTATTTTTTTTTTTTTGCGACTGGCCATTTTAGCAGCATAAATAGTGGTTTAGATAACAAAAATTTTCTCATAGAGGAAATATTATAATGGTTTCATAAATGAGAAACTTTTTATGCTAAATTTGAATTATCATTTGATAATTGATAAAAACATAAATCGAAGCAAAGCCATTACCGGTTGAAGAAAACCTTGAAGCGATTAAAAAATTATAGTGAATGACAATTACAAATAGTACTTTATTTCATGATAGGGATGAAAATGAAATTATAACCATATAAACTTTGATGAGGTCCAAGAGTTTTTGTTCAAACTCTTTTACTTTCTTTTTTTCTTATATTGTTTCTATCTACCAATAAAAGGTCTAAACCTATAAAATTATCTTATGCCCATCTTACATAAGAGGCTTAAAGCTACAAAAAAGTAAAAATTAGGAGTGTGATGAATTAAAATGAGTTTAATCCTTAAAATACATAAAATATGCAAATTCCAGCCATAAACTACATAGTACGGAGTATGAGATTTGAATATTTGATTCAGAGATCAATACGAGGCTTGGTTATAGAAATATTTGAAAAATATATTATAATTTTTTAGAAAAATTAATTATCCAAAACTTTAATTATTCAATATCATTATTTAAGAGTTTAAGACCCATGTTTCATTTGAAGGAAAAATATTTTTGAATAGAATCTCTTTGAATATACGGAGTATGTGATAAGATATGCTACCTCATCTATTTATTGTTTCGAAATTTAGAGCCCGTTTGGTAATACTGAAATTGGCTGAATCGGCTGATTCTGTTGAAATTTATGAAGTTCTGGTTGAAGTTGCTAGATTAGTTGAATATGCTAATTTAAAAAAAAAATTAAGAAAAAATAATATTTAAAGTAGCTAAAATGGTTGTCTATAGTAACTTCAGCCAATACTACCAGAAAAGTAACACCAAACTTACGTTTTTTATTATTACACAATTCATCAAGCGAAATCAAAAGTTACGCTTTGATGAAAAAGTTGGCTGATAAACATGATTACCAAACTGGCTCTTACTATTTTTTACAAGCAGCGTACCAAGATTTCATGTGCTATAAAATTAGAACTACAATTGTAAGCACAACTATCATTCTCTTTTGCAACTACTTGTATAAGGCTTCCCACAACCCAGAGGTGAATAGGCTAATTTTGAGCTTTTCACCACAAAAATCAGTGCAACCCATTGTATTTGTTGGTGCCAAAGCGAGTGCATGGCACTCCGGGTGGGAATGGATAGTCATATTCACAACCATTTGCTGCACGCCGAAGGAAGAATAGACAAAGATGAAATGTAGTGTCCATGTAAAATTAAAATCCAATTTTTATTTAAAGTGTTATAACGTTTTCATTTGTACTTCAATTTTTATAAAAAAAAATATATCAAAATTAATAACTTTTTATTATCTTTCATACGACATCAACATCGAATATAAAAAATTAAAAAATATATATTGAAATTTAATTGCTGAAGGTTTCCAAACTCGAATATTTTCTTAAATAGATCAAAATGCTAAAATTAAGATGTCATCATTAAAATATTATTTTTATAACTTTAAGTTATTTTCCCAAAATGATTCTGAAATAACACAAAAAAATTAAATTTCAAATTTATTTATTTTTTCATCTAAATGTTTGACTTTTTTAGGTCTTTAATTATTATTCCCGAAAAAAAATGAAAAAAATCGGTATTCAATTATAAAAGTAAGGTTTTAATATAAAAAAGTTTACTGGAAGAATATACTGACAATGTTGGATTGTAGTAAAAATTGAATTGACTGGGTGAATACGTATAAATTTAGGGAAAATTCGATTTATTGACGGATATGGGTTGCGGTTAGCATGGTGTTATGAACGAATGAACGAAGAAGCATGGTTTTATGATTATGAGCCCATTTGGTGAGCGTCTTTTTTTATTTATCAGGTTTATCAAAAAGTAAGGTTGGAGTTACATTTCTGGATGTATTGGCTGAATTTACCACAGAAGGTCATTTTAGCTATTTTCATACAATTTTTTCTTTATTTTATTAATAAAATATATTTTAAACATAATTGTTTGATAAATCATCATAATTAGCCAATCCAGCCACTTCAACCGAAACTTCTTAAATTTCAGCAGAATCACCCAATTTTGGTATTACCAAACGGGCTCTATATACTATCGATATATATTTCTAAGATGGAGCAGGGAGGGCCCATGTTGTAATGATATGGTAAAAAGCAGAAAAATAATATGCAAAGAATGATATTTTAGGCTTAATAGAACATCAAGATAATATTATCGGGACGAGTGAGACATTTTTTTTATGACCATGCAAATTACTGTTTTCCTGTGCCATTCAAATTTACAAGAGAAAATTCTAATTCAAAACGAATATCTGAGTGACTACTAAAAGTTTCATCCACTGATTAGCAATCCGAGAATATAGTCTATTATATTCTTCAACATGGATTATAGATTAAAATACATGTACATCTTCCAAATAACAATATAGTACAATCTCGACTTTAACACAATGGATGGACATTCAACTAAAAATACATTCAACTTAAACTTATTTTTTCCCATGATGTAAAAGTTAGAGACCCTGGCCTTTCTCATTTTCTTATAAACGAAATGCAACTACATGTCTAAGAAATAACAAAATTGGACATTATTTAGTCGCGCAACGCGCGATATAAAAACTAGTAAGATAATAAAGATAGGAGTGTGGTTATGAAAATAAAACATTCATATTACTATTTTGATGGAATGATAACGTTTGCATAGATAAAAATGAAGGGATATTCTCGATGGCTTTGATGAATTTTAAAGGATTATGAAGTTTGAAATCCAAGGAATGTCTACAAAATTTGTGGTGGAATGTTTTATATGTAGAAATTCATCAAAATTCATTAAAATTCATCCCAAATAAATAATACTCCCTCCGCCCCACTGAACTTTGCTAACTTTTCTTTTTTGGTTGTCCCAAAAAACTATGCCACTTTAATTAAAGTAACTATTTTATTGTTTTGCTCATTTTTCTCTTTTGTGCATAAACTTCAATCACACATTTTTTACTAGGCTAAAGGGTCAAATAGGTACATGAACTAACTTAAAGTGTTCAATTAGCCCCTTATATAGGAGATTCTGCCCGGCCGTCGCCAATTGGGGCGGTTCCCGGTGGAATTGTGTGATGAAATTTTTTAAGCATCTTCTTCATTAAGTCTAGTTTACCCATACCAAATTTCAGCTAAAAATTCAACCGGAAAGGTAGTCAAATGATTTTTTGAAGATAACTGCACAGTTAAACAGTGAAGTACATTTCGGAAAATCATTTGACTGCCTTCCCGATTTAATTTTTAGCTGAAATTTGATATGGGTAAACTAGACTTAATGAAGAAGATGCTCAAAAAATTTCATCAAAAAATTCCACCGGGAACCGCCCTAATTGGCGACGGCCGGGCAGAACCTCCTATATAAGGGGCTAATTGAACACTTTAAGTTAGTTCATGTACCTATTTGACCCTTTAGCCTTTTTTACTATTATTATTTCTCACATAATTCAAAGAGTGCAAAGTCCATTCGGACGGAGGAAGTAATAGAAATTCATGGAATGTTTGTGAACACTTTAAGGGGGCGTTTGGTAACATATAAAATAATTACTTTGCATGTGAAGTGTAAGAACGTAAAATGTTTACACTGTTTGACTTGATTATTTAATGTAAACTGTAGGAAACTTTTTGAAAACATTTCGCACTGTAACATGTAAAATATTTTACGTGGGAGAGGGTGGTAAAATATTTTGCATGTTTTTTATAAGGCACTGCAGCGCCTTTGCGTGCAAAATAAAAATAAATTAAATATCCAACCAAACAATGTAATCTATTTTACATGCAAACTAATTGCTTCTCTAAACTTTGCACGCAATCATTTAGGGTGTAATGATTTAAAACACTTCACAAACATAGGTGAGTACAAAAGTTGATATAAGAATGAATATCCATTTTAAGCATCCTACATTTTAAGCATCCGATTGCGTGTAAACATCCTACTCCCTCCGTATCAAATTAATTGACCCGTTTGCTTTTCACGCAGTTTAAGACAATTACTGTAGACTTTATTAAATGTAAGAGATTTTTGGTACTGTAGCGACACTGTAACGGTACTGTAGCAGTACTGTAGCTGCTTTTTGAGTGAGATTCTTTCCAAAAAGGGAAAGGAGTCAATTAAATTGATACACCAAAAAAGGAAAGTGAGTCAAGTAATTTGATACGGAAGGAGTACATTTTCAGCATTTGCTTGTAGAGATTTAACGCGTCAAAAAGAGCCCTAAAATCCTCCCAAAGGACATCCTAGAACAATCCAAATGTGAGTCCACTTGTCTGACAAGTTCAAGGTCCAACTTTTTGACACTGTGAATCCGAGGTAAGAATTCCTCAACTATTCCATCAGAAGTAATCAAGAGAGAAGCGCGGGAAGCAAGAATGCTAGCAAACGGGAGATACCAACTTAGGGATGTCTCGTCCAGATTCTTCAACAAAGTTCGTTCTTTTTAAATCTTTTTCGTAGTACGATTCTGTCTATAAGATTGTAGTTTTTGAATCATGCTGCCGTTAACCGTGGTTGTATATTTCCATGCCTTTCTTTCCTATGAGATTTCCTGATGCATTTTAATGTAATGATTTTATTTTGATGTGATGCAAGTGTTACTAAACGTAGTAGGCGTCATTGGAGATCAATTAATTGACTTAAAATCATTACTCCAATCCTACCTCTACTTGACAAATTTATCTGCTGCTTCAACAAAGTTTATCATATGGAAGTAATTCTGTGACATTTATTGCGAACCAAATGAAAAGTTAGTATTTTTATTATCAAAGATGGCTCTTTTTTGAACAAAAAGTGTTGGAAATATAATTTTTATTGCACTGAGCATCAGTTTTTTGTCCTCTCTGTTTGGGTGTTTTCAAAAATGGATACTTATTGACTCAAACATTACAGTTTCAGGTAGGCAAAGCCAAAGCGTATTCGATAAAGACTCTTCACGATATAGGACAGCCCACAGCTGCTACTCATCCTCAGGTAATCTTTGCTTGATGTCTAGTCACTTCCGGGAAATCAAAATGTAACTGTTAATTTTGGGTTTGACTTGAAAATAAAATATGACTCTGATACACTTAGGCTCCTGTTGGGCTAATAAGATTGTATTTTCTGTTATTCTGTGTTTACTGCTCCTTTTCAGCTTTCTGAATAAGTTGCGTTTTCTTTGAATGTAGTTAGTGAAGGAAGGTGAGATTACTCCTGGCATTACGAGTGAAGAATATATCACAAGAAGGAAAAAATTATTAGAGCTCCTGCCTAAGAAAAGTTTGGCAATTTTTGCATCTGCCCCAAGAAAAATGATGACTGATGTTGTACCTTACACGTTCCGACAAGATGCTGATTACTCATACATAACTGGATGTCAGCAACCTGGTGGTATAGCCGTCTTAGGTCACGATTGTGGTTTATGCATGTTCATGCCAGAAGCCAACCCTCATGTATCTCCCGAATTATTATACATCATTATTTTCACTCAGTTTTCTCAAAAGGAAACCTACAATTTCTAACATGCATCTTTGTAACGAGTTTTTAAATAGCTATAGTGCCTGTCTAAATTTCACTTGCTTAGCAGTACTTTTAGTGATCTTTTAAATTCAAAATATGTATCAGGATGTGATTTGGCAAGGAGAGGTAGCCGGTGTTGATGCTGCTCTACAGATATTCAAGGCTGATCAGGCTTACCCTATTAACAGCTTACAAAAGGTAGACCGGATCCTCACTTGATTATAGCAATGTAGCATAGTGGGCTGTTAATTTTGATTGCTTGAATTACTTCTAGTAGATAATGGAAATTACACTGCGATCATTAATCCAAGTGTGTGTGTGTGTGTTTAATAGTAGTTCTAATTGGCATTTGAAAAGAGAAGCAGAAAGACAGGAACTGGAACTAAGCTATCTTTTTTGTGAGAGTTACTATTTTCTACTTTTCTGGAAAACTAGAAAAATTTAGTTATGAAGAGTCCCTAAGTTTAGCATTTTGTATGTTTCAAGTATCTGGTCAAGAAGATTTTACCCTCTGCTAGGCTTGCTCAACTTCATATGCTAATACATCCTCTGTGCTTTCATATTTTCTTATCACATTTCTTTTGATGGCATCAGATACTCTCTGAGATGATCGGAAGTTGTTCTAACATATTCCATAATGTTAAGACTGCTACATCAGCATATGTTGACCTAGAGTCATTTAGAAAAGCATATCAGAATGGTGTGGTAAAAGATTTCTCTATTTACACTCATGAAGCACGATTGGTCAAATCATCTGCCGAGCTTAAATTGATGCGAGACTCTGCATCTATTGCTTGCCAGGCAAGTCTATTTTATATTTTCTTATTTTACTTCGGAACTGTGAACATTCAATGTGAAACATTGCACATCCTTAGCCAGTCTTCATTTTGTTCTCCTGTTCTCCTCTCTGGGGATGCATGATGCTATGAATTGTGTGGTTCTGTTGAAGAATCCTTAGTGTGTACCATATAAAATATTTCATTTGTGCCTCCGTTGATTGTCATGTTAATTTAATTTTGAGTGAATGCGTATATTATACTTGGTTCAATTGTTTTTGTTCTCCATTCATTTTTCATGATCATGGTTTGCGCAAATTCGATAACAAAAAATTGCACTTTTAAGGGTTATCATGACCTCAATCCTATTGGACCAGTGCTCTTCTTTTAGTGATTGAAAAATATAAATCACCTTTACACTTCTCTTGGATTGTGTAGTAATTAATACTTTCCTTGTACAGGCTCTTTTAAAAACCATGATGCATTCAAAGGTATATCCTCATGAGGGTATGCTCTCAGCAAAGTTTGAATATGAATGCAAGATGAGAGGTGCCCAAAGAATGGCGTAAGTATATTTCATTCTTGGTAAAAATTGTGAAAGTTGCACAGAGGTGATGGTTTCTCATCCTTTAGTTATACCACTTTCTTTTCACTTTGGTAAAGTTTTGGTCTTTAGATAGGATATCAAAGGAGTAAGCTTCATATATGTAGGAACATTAATGAGTTGTATGAGAGGTTAAAAGTGGACTTTGTGGCTCTTCGCTTTTGCATTTTGAATGGGTGTTTTCTCTTCCCCAGGTTCAATCCAGTGGTTGGTGGTGGGCCTAATGGTTGTGTTATTCATTATGCTCGGAATGATCAAAGGGTGAGCTACTACTATTTTAAGATAGGTGTTTTGTTGGACTGGCATATTTAATAAGAAATTGTCCTTTGACAGATTGAAGATGGTAACCTTGTTTTGATGGATGTCGGTTGTGAGCTGCATGGTTATGTTAGCGATCTTACTCGGACCTGGCCACCTTGTGGCCACTTCTCTCCTGTTCATGTACGTAATTTACTTAGATACTGATTTCATAGACTGCAATAACACACAACTAGTTCTAACCCATAACTCGGCCCAACTCGTGGTTGCTTCATTTGTATGAAGACTTGAGGCTACACAGTCAACATTATAGGAGCAGTAGCCTACCTTATACTTTGGTTTTAATCTTAAATGACCGATGTCAAAGACTCAAAGAGTTTAGTATGCTTTACTAGATGGTGGTTTGTGAGGCAGATCAATCTTGAAACTGTGTGCTCATTTTTAGTTTTAGTCTGATTGATTGTCTGGTTGAGCTAAAGAATTTATTATGCTATGTCAATATTTGATCCTTAAGGGTAAACTTGAGGGAAGAGTTGCCCAAAAACCTATACATGAGTTTGTATCTCTATATTTGCCTGATGGGAAATGATTTAACAATTTAAATAATGTACTTAGATGTAGCTTTCGTATCCTTACAACATATAATTCTAAAGATGGTTGAACATGGAAAAAAGGAATTCCAGAAGTCAGGTGTAGAATGAAGCATGGTGTTTTTTGTTATGTTGGTTTGGAGTTGAATAGTTAGTGGGTAACATTAAATCCTCAAACAATATCTTAATCTGATTTATTCTTGTATCACCCATAACTTCAGTCAGATCTGTTTTTTTTTTTTACAAATAGAATTACAGAATGATTGATATGAGATGCAATTACAAATATGTAAAGCTGAATTATGATCTGAAGTCATGCAACCTATTCTAGGTGGTGTTCTCTTTACCTTTTTTGGTTTATATCTTATTCTTATGTCATCACTTCAGAAAGGTTTAGACCAAACCTGGCCAGACCTAAAGCTCTAGACTAGATCAGGCTCTACTTGAAACTTTAAATCAGACCAGAGCAGATTTTTAAATTTCTCATCGGACCAAATATTTAGGCGAACAACAGGCTCTTATTTCATGAACCTCAGCTATCTGAATGATGGATCATAACATATCCTTCATTGCATGCATATCTTGTGACATATTTTTATCTGAGTTTTTTTATTTTTTTTCTCTGTTTGCAGCAGTCCATATTCTTATCGTTGTATACCTAATACCTTTATCATTGGGCAGCACTAATGCAATGTACCCTTCAGGAAGAATTGTATCATATTCTCTTAGAGACAAACAAGGAGTGTATCAATATGTGTAGACCTGGCACAAGCATTGATGAAATACATTACTACTCGGTAATGATATAATGATTTAGTTCTTATACATGTTAGCTGTCTTTCATATCATTGGGTTGTGTTTGCTGTCTTTGATATAATAGAGATTTCGCAAGTTTTACTTTATCCAGTTTGATTGCACTTGTTGGAAAAAGCAAGAGTTTTTCATCATATTCCACACTACTATTTAGGTGGGATGCATGATATGAATGTTCCACAAGGTTAAGAATTAAGATGTACCTCCATCCCAAAAGAAGACCAAACACAATGTATCACCTTTTCTTTTTGCATAAGCTGCAAGTGTAAAAAATTACATATCATACTTATATTTCTAAATTATTCTTAGGCTTAAGCCGCTTAGCTAAATTTATTACATGTAGCTTGTATGTGACATTTTTTGGTAAGTTACAAAAAAAATAACTTCATTTGATCAATATGGAGTATTTCTTTGTTGGAATGAATTTATTTTGGGTGGGTGGATGGGGGGTGAGTATTTGATAAGCGTGCATAACAAATGCCAAAAGAAACATTTTAATTTTAGTGGGTTAATAACTATGAATTTTGACACTGGTACACACACAACATGAAACAACATATTTTGACATTATGAGAATTTGTAGGGATACAAATATACAATCACTACTAAATAAATTAGTAAGTATAGCAATAACACATAATGTTTAACGACTTAACGTCTTTGGATCGTTTTGTCACTGAAGAAGATATGGATTGATACAAAATCGGAGCAATTGATCTAGGTTTTTGTTCTTTTAACAGTTCAGTGATTTCAGTCCAATACTTTGTACTTGTTTAAAAACTTCATTCCTTCTAACAACACTATGATGTGTCCGGTGTCCCTGAAGTGTGAAGTATACTGTATACCTATTTTAGCAGGTAGTGGTAGGCATTTTCGTGTCCAACAACATACTTTACTTATTCGGAAGCGTCTTTGCTTCATAGGTTTATGGGTTTGGTTTGTACTTATTGATCCTAACTAACTACTCTGGTGTAAAACAATAGCAGTCTCTATATTTTTGCTAGATGGCTGATCTTTTATACCAATTTGTCAAAACAGTTTTAGTCTATCATCATCACTTTGTGTTTACTATCAGAATTTCACACATGATAAGGGGGGGGGGGGGGTCTAAGAATCCTAGAGTTACATGTGTATGTACGGAGTATTTAAGACATCCTACTGTTGTTTTCCAAAAGACAAATCACACCTTGTGCATTGATATTACTTTTGTTATGTGTGCTGTTTTATGAGTGCCATCATCACGATGCTTTCTCATATCTAAATATAACAGCTCAAATAGATGCTTAGTTTTATAATTTCTTGGCACAGGTTAAAAAGATGCGGAAATTATTCAAGGAGATTGGACTACTTAAAGATGACAACCCTCAAAGATATAATATTCTAAATCCAACCAATATAGGTATTTTTTAAAACATTTCTTGACCTTTTGCTTGCTGAATTATAGTTGATAATAACTACATGTGAAAAATTCCTAGCAAAAACATGAATGAGAAATGAGGACTGAACGAATCCAGGAAATAACTGGTTTCAATCCTACTAATTTCGTAATTTGTTTCCTTAAAAAACATTTTTTTTATTGGGACAGAATGGTGTTACAAGTGCACCCACAGCTAAACTAAATTTGGGTTGGCAATTAAAACCTTCCAGGTCATTATCTAGGAATGGACGTTCATGATTGTGGTACTGTGAGCTACAACAAAATTTTAAAGCCTGGTGTTGTAAGCTGCTTTCCTGACATAAATATTATATCAAGATTCTCTCCTTTGATTCTATCTATTTACACTAGATTTTTATACTTCCCGGGGCACTTTTTGATGCGTAGGTGATCACAATTGAACCAGGGGTATACATCCCTTCTAATTGTGATGTTCCCAGAAGGTATAGTTTTCAGTTCTTACTTCACCAACTTAATATTTTTTGGGTTATTTTTTAGTAAGACTCATATGTATATATCTATTAAGCCTATGTTTGTACGGCCATGTCAGCTCATTTTGAGATGAATTTAATTAATCAAGATAATTACTTCGAATGTAGCTTTGTTTGGACGAGGAAATGAGGACTGAAGTTGAATGAATAAAAAATTAATCAGCTAATTTTAAACTATTGAATTCAGTGTTTCAATTTAGCTCTTTAATTTAGCGTAAACTTATTCTCCCTCCGCCCCGAATTGAATTGCAAAAGTTCACCGGCACGGGAATTAAGAAATGATGTAAAGTGATATTGGCTTCACCATTTTACCCTCTTGTCCTCATAAACTCTGCAAGATGCGAGAGAAAAAATACAGAGTAAATTTGTACCATGCGCCCCTATATTTTCCCTTCTACTTCACCGCATATATAACCTTCACTGCAAATGGAGTATGGAGAAGTAGATATGGAGTCCGCAAATAATATCTGTAATAATACTGTGCGCCCCTTCATTTTTCCTTCTACCTCTTCTTTTGTCCCTATCTGGTCCTTCATTTATAAACGGAGTTTGTGGGAGTGCTTAGTTTGTCCTACTCGTATTCACTGGGAAAAATCATATACCCTCTTTAATTTCCCCTTTGTCTTTAAACTGGAAAGGAATTTCAGTGAAACCCTCCATTTGATAGAGGTGCACGGTGCTTGAGTAAAAATTGGGTGTAAGGGAATAGAGAAGCTTGATGGTGGATTGAAATGATAGAGACGGGTGGGGATGGGGAAAAGTGATAAGATGAGTGGTGGTAATTAAGTCTCTTTAAATTGGGTGGGTCATGGATGGGTAGAAAAGTAAGGACAAAGTTGTCATTTTAATTATATTTCTATACTCAAAATGGAAAGTGGAAAATCATTTTGAGACGGCCAAAATAGAAAATTTTGCAAAACAAATTGGGATGGAGGGAGTATCAATTTTACTATTTGACAATTTGACTATTTACATTTTTAAGTTGCTATTTGACTATTTCAGTTTCAACAACCCTGTTGGAGATAATAGCCTTCAACTTTAGTTTGTTCTTCCAAACATAGACGAACTAGGTGCTTAGCAGTCATGATTGACAGTTTGATTTGTTAGGGAGTCCCACCTATAGGAATGAAGGATACCTTCCAATAAAATGAATAAATAATTACAACAACATTACCCCAGTGCCGCAAAGGCTCCCACCTACAGTGGGGTAAGCGGCGGTCAGATGTAAATAAATAAATAAATAAATAAATAAATAAATAAATAAATAAATAAATAAATAAATAAATAAATAAATAAATAAATAAATAAATAAATAAATAAATAAATAAATAAATAAATAAATAAATAAATAAATAAATAAATAAATAAATAAATAAATAAATAAATAAATAAATAAATAAATAAATAAATAAATAAATAAATAAATAAATAAATAAATAAATAAATAAATAAATAAATAAATAAATAAATAAATAAATAAATAAATAAATAAATAAATAAATAAATAAATAAATAAATAAATAACTAACTAAATAAATAAATAAATAAATAAATAAATAAATAAATAAATAAATAACTAACTAACTAACTAAATAAATAAATAAATAAATAAATAAATAAATAAATAAATAAATAAATAAATAAATAAATAAATAAATAAATAAATAAATAAATAAATAAATAAATAAATAAATAAAATTAAAAAAAAACAAGATATGGCTATTTTCTTCTTTCTAGCCTTTGAAAGGAAGGTATACATACAGATTTCACACAATTTGACAAATAAATAGATTAAAATGTTCTGGGGCTAAAACATAATTGCATCAAGATCAATGATATTAAATGTTAAATTTATAGTTCAATCCTCTGTGTTATGCTGATATAATGAGTATGAGGAGTGTTAATTCAGCTGGGTCAGATTTTTGGAATATATTTGACCAATACAACAACAACAAAGTTTGGGGTCGGCTAGGGGTGTGAAATGTTAAATTGATGATTCAATCCTCTTTATTGTATCTTATTGAAGTCAATCCTACTTCCAGATCATATTATAAGGGCATGTTACATTACATAATCTGCTATTATGTTCTTAGATGAATTGTGAACTCATCTTTTGCCATCTCTTTTCTGGGTAGAGAGTTGCATTCAACTATAAACGTAGACACTAAATTGACTAATATATTGTTCAAGGTACCAAGGCATTGGGATAAGAATTGAAGATGAAGTCCTCATCACAGAAACAGGCTGCGAGGTAAACTTTCTGTTGTGACACTATTTCACAATATCATTTTGCAATTGGACATGGCTGCAACAGCTATCACAACTTATTTCCGTCTCATGGTATTTTTCCATGCAAGTAGAGAAAAGTTCTAATGAGGACGGTTTCGGATTTTCATTCCATTTTTCTCTCTTTAGAAACCTGCCAAGGGAAGGACACCGAGTTTAAAAGAGTGTGATTTGTTGCATGCATGGATTTGTAGTGTTAACGAATTTTTGACCATGTTTGGCATTGTAAATTTTAGATCCCGTCCCGGTTTTTCTCGGGATGTCCCGGTCCCGTTTTAAATGGGACAACATTAGGATAAAGACTTATCCCGAACCTTACCGGACCATTATTATGAAACCGGGACGGGATTGGGATAAGCCAAATCCCCGACTGTCTCAGACCGCGCCCACCCCTAGTTGGATTAATAAGCTGGCCACCTGTAGAAAACTAAGCTAATAAACAAATGTCTTCCCAACTGGACGCAGGTACTCACAGGATCAATACCCAAAGAAATCAAGCACATTGAATCCCTTCTGAACGACTTTAGCAATGGAGTGGAATCTCATAATAGCTTCACAAAATCTGCATTTAGTTAGTTTGGCCTTGACGCTTCGCTCATTGATGATATCAAGAGCCAGTTTCGGATAACTTTGTAATAGGTGCAATTTTGCTAGCTTCTACAAGCAATGCTTTGGTTCTTTTATTTATTGGAATAAAATAGATTTAACTGAATTAAACGAATAAACAATTCTTAGCTTTTATAGAGTTGAATACATTTTTTTTATATCAAAAGTTAAAGCCATCAAAATGGTGCTTTGACAAAATTACCTTTTCTTTGGGGAAGTGCATTTAATCAAGAGCACTCGTAAACTCTGCACCTGTGTTCTCTACTATTTTTACACTAAAGCAAGTTCATACGTTGTGTTATTTGATTTTCTCTATTTTGATTTTTTCCTTGTAATTACATGTCAAACATAAAAAAGTGTTTATTGAAAGCATCCACATTGATGATCTTCAACTTTACGATTTTCATGGCTTATTATTGTCATATCACCTTCACATAAGATAATCTCAAATAATCTCCAAACCAATAAATTTCTTCTCATTTATGATCTTAATACCTTGGATAGGAGCATGAGTATGCACGAATTACAAAACTAGTCATCAGTTCATCACCATAATTATGAGTATATGCTTAGAAGTTGGAAATAATCTCAAAATAATCTAGCTTTAGAATTTGATACCAAATTATTTTATCAAATAATCTCATAAAATAATCTCAACTCCTCATTCATGATCCAAAAAAAAATTCTCCACATCATCAAAATGATCTCAAAAATAATCTATGGATGTGGATGTCCTGATGCAAAATGTTTTACTTTTGGCCCCACGAGAATTAATACAATCATAACAACAATATGATGTTCTAATGATGACACTAGATTATGACATTAATATTGTCACATTAATGTTTGACAATGTCAAAATGATATAGCGTGATTCAAGGTGACAGTATTGTACTCTTATTTGGAGAGATTATAGTACTATTATAAGCATGATCAAGAGTGTATTCGAATGAGGGTAGGGGATATATATAGGTAGATACATGAGTCTAATCAAATACTCATGGGCTTGGGCTTAGGTTAGGGAGAGTAGTGTATATTTATATATTACATAACACTGCCCCTTAAATATACACTACTAAAGAAGTACGTAAATCTTTTAAATACGTTTAAGGAGTGCTTCCTTATTAAAAACTTTACCGAGGAGTATATTTACCCCCCTCTCCCCCACCCCAATGAATATCACTCAAGATCCTTGGGTCGACGTAATCCAATCAGGTGCACTAACTTCTTGAAAGTCCGCAACATTGTCATTTGAATGAATTTGTTGAACAATAATCTCGCCCTCTTTTTGGATGTCCTGTGTACCAAAACTTTGGTGAAATATGTTTTGTCTTATCTCCCTTGATGAATCCTTCCTTGGATTGGTGAATACAAGCTGCATTATCTTCAAATAAGAATGTCGGAGGCTCCTTTTCAGACCATAATCCACATGACCGTCTAATATACTGAATTACACTTTTTAAGTATACACATTCTCTACTGGCTTCATTAATGGCTAATAGCTCTGCACGATTAGATGATGTTGCCGCAATTGTTTGTTTTAGGGAACACCACGTGATTGACAGTGTACCCGGGGGGTAGCTTATCCGAGGGGTTATTGCGGAGAATAACTAGAGAGAAGTCAGAGCAAAACAAGTAAGAGAGACAGAGTCAGATATATTAATGAATTCTGATCCGGGCCCCTTTACAAGAGGAATAAGGGCTGCTATTTATAGCAGCCATAAATGCGATGAGAGTACACGTGTCAATGATCTGACGACTGAGGGGTCACCTCAATCGGGGTGGCACCGGCATTCGCATGTGCACCGCATTAAATGCGGTGGTTGGATGTGACGCCGCATTGAATGCGGTGGTTGCTTGTCTCCAAAGGGAATCTTCGATGATTGCACTGTAGCCGAAGGCTCCCCTGTGGTCGAGGGCTCTATGTAGCCGAAGGCTACCCTTATGCCGAGGGCGTGTATGAGCCGAAGGCTCCTGATTTTCGCCGTCTTCTCCCAGTAGCTTTGTATGCCTAAAATCAGCTGTTTCCTGGAGTTTGGAGCCCTCGGCCATGGTGCCGAAGGCATCCCCAGGCGCACCGTGGGTTCCTTTGAGCTTGGGCCGCGGTGCTTTGGGCCTCATGCGCTTCTTGGTCCTGTTGAGCATGTGTTGGAGTAGTAGGAGTCTGTGGAACCCCGGGCCATATACTCCATCCCCACGAATTTGTCCAACAATCTAATCCTAGATTGATCTAAAATAGGGGTGGACTGGGCCCGGGTCGAGCTGGGGCGGGCTCTAGGTCGGGCTGGAGCGGGCTCCGGGTCCAAATTATTCAGGCCCGGTCCCGGCCCGGGTTTGTACCGGTATCGGGCTGGGTCGGGAAATAATTTTTTTTTGGGTCTTTTCGAATTAATGTAATGGGAAAAAAATTAAAATAATAATAATTGGGCCTAGACCGGGCCTGGACCGACCGGGTCGGTCCACCATTTTCGGGTCCCGAAGCCCACCCTTTCATACGACCGATTCGGGCCTCAGTCCCAGTCTTGGTTCACCGGGCCGGGCCACAACAGTGTCGGGTCGGGTCCCTGATCGGGCCAACCCGACCCAATCCACCCCTAATCTAAATTCTTAAATTATAATCTAATAAAGCATTTCATCATGCACAATTTTATTTATAATTAATTGTATAAACAGTTATACAATTAGCTCGGTTAATTGTCTTTGGTCTAACCATATCAATTTCTACATTTTCCTTCATAGTTTCCCCTTTCTCCTCCGAAAAAATGGCCCGGTTATTAGTAATTGAATTTTCATTTCCAAATATATGAGTCTTCTCATATATTCCAAAAACATGACCCCTTACCTTTCTCCATTCGATGGAATTGACCCAAGGCATCGACGAGGCTATTCTGCATCTCTCGGTCCTGCATCTTCACAGCACCACAACCACCGCGTCGCGCAACACCACTGCCGCATCGCACACCACCACCACACCACCGGCGACTCGGCAAGTTGCGCACCAACACCGCATCCCCACCTTCTTTGCGTGGGAGCGGCGGCCATCGTGATGTTGCTGCTTCCATATCTCTTCTTACCCATTTCTTCTACCACGCCTAGGGCTGGACTCGGGCCGGTTCGGGCCTGGGCCTGGCCGGGCCTCGGGCCAGAAAACTGGGGCCCGAGCCCGAACCGCCGGTGGCCGGTTCCGGTTCCGGGGCAAAACCGGCCGGGCCGGGCCGGTTCCAACCGGTCTATTTTTTTTTTTTGGTTCTCCTATTTAACCCCCTACCCCTCCCCCTCAACCCCAAACAACCCCAAACCACCTCAAATGGCCCAAAATACCTAATCCAATCCAAAACTTAAAAAAAATTCAAAAAAAAAAAAACTAAAATCCGGCCCTGACTGGGCCCAAACCGGCCGGGCCGATTCACCTAAAGCAGGGCCCGAGCCCGGACCGCCCATCACCTGGGCCGGGCCAAACCGAACCGATGGACCCACCGGGCCCCAGGCCGGGCCGGGCCAAACAATAACCGGGCCGGGCCGCGCGGCCCGAGTCCACCCCTAACCACGCCTAACTTGTGTCGCCCTGATTCAGATCTGAAGAGATTTGAAGCTCCAACGTCTTCATTTTCGATCCAGAACTCGAGTTGGGTTTGGAATGCAGAAATGGTGGACGAAGGCCGTTAGGGTTGGTCTGGGGTAGAGAGGGCGTTGCTTTAGGCGACGACTTGCTACAATTGGGTAACGGCGCAGGGGGTGAGGAGTCAAGTTGGGATGCGGAATGGTCATGGCGGAGGTGGTTCAGTGGCAGGCAGGGCGGGGGCAGAGTCTTAGGACTGGGGCGGGGTGTGGTGGAGCTGGGGCAGGGTGTGGTGCAGGAATGGGGTGTGGTGGGGCTGGGTGTGGTGGAGTTGGGGCAGGGGGTGGTGCAGGAATGGGGTGTGGTGGGGGTGGGGTGCGGTGGCCGCTTGGCCGACCGGGTGGTTGGTTTGAGATGGTTCAATGGCAGGGCGGACAAAGGCAGTGACTGCCCGACGGCGGCAGTTACAGGCGGTGAGCGGACAGTCTCTTTGGCCGGTGAGCGGTGGTCACTATGGCCGGTAGGCGGGAGTAACTGTGGCCGGTGAGCGGTGATCACTATGGCCGGTAGGCGGGAGTCACTGTGGCCGGTGAGCGATGGTCACTATGGCCGGTAGGCAGGAGTCATTTTTGCCGGAGTCACTTTGGCCGAAGTCACTGTGATCGGAGTCACTAAGATAGTGATCGGCGGCGGCGGCGGTGCTGGGGTCGGTGGCCATGGAGGTGCTGGTGGCTGCAAAATATGAACTACTAATCATCATTTATATAAAATGAATACTGAAATAATAAATGTATGATTAAATATTTAAATACAAGGAATAAATGACTTTTAGTCACATTTTTGAGAAAATTTAAAAGAGGTAACATTTTTGTCTTTTTCACTCATTTTTGTAATATTGGAATAAAAAGGCCTTCTCCGCTTCCCCTACGCTATTACAGAATATTTTAGAGATATTCAGGCATGTGTTTCCATTAACCTAATTTAATAAAATCAATCCCTTTTTTAAAATAGATCTCATATTCATGAATCTATAAATAAAAATATTCTCAGATGAAACATTATTTCTTAGTACCTAATCAGACAGAGAAGTATCAAAACGTGTAAAACATATAATCATACGGTTTACTCCAATTAGCGTCATAAGTAGTAGCACAACATGTAATGGTTTCAAATCTCCCTTAGGTCGGACTCTCATTTCATTATTCTTCAGAATGAAATCCTTCTGAAATAACAAATTACCTTCTTATCTCCCTTCTTATCAATTGATTGCCAACCACATTTGGGATTTTGGGGCAACAAATCCTTGTTTTTAACTGGTATATGAAATAATCAAATTTCACTTCTTTTGCCGATCCAAATCTAACTGCCAAGCCAACTGTTGGTATTGTTCCAAGCCCCCTCACTCCACTTATTCCGTTTCATTACTTATAGAAGATTCATTACATTTGATAATTGAGCGACTGAAGTGAAAAAAAAACTTGGTATGGGAAATTGGGATCCAACAAGTCAACAACAAATGGAATTGTTCATCAACAACACATCTCAAGTTCATAATTCATAATAGTGTTTATGTGATAAACTGAGGATCTGAATCGTTGGTTAGAGATTCAGAGTGGAGCTAAAGGCCAAAACGGACCAACTCGCTAGAAAATGCAAAATGTTCACATGCAACTAACTGGAACATACACTCCTTTACATTCCCTTCACCGGCACATCTGTTTTTAGATGTACTAAGCTCACCCACTGATGGATCAACTCGAGAGTAAAGATCACAAAATGTTTGGTACACATGGGGCTTCAACAAACTCAACGAGCTCAGACAACAATAAATTTCAAAAATATTTAAACTCTAACAAGCTTAAAAGTCAAAATTGCGGCATCATTGGCTCAGGCAGGCATCAATAGGGGGGCTAGCTTACCACTGTTGTCATATGATTGAACTACCAAGAAGTGAAAATTTTGAATCTATAGTATCTTCCATTTGCGCTCCACAGCATTGGCTATCATAGATATACAGTATGCAGCACTAAGCGGATAATCTGAAACTGCAGCGATATATAAATATATATCACAATAATTGTTATCAGAATCAATGTTTTTGAAAAACAACATTGCAAACAATGCCACAAATTCTTTTATTTGAAACCAATTCCTGGAGAGATCATATTTCCTTATACAAAAATACTCTTGGTACACACTTT